AAAGGCCCTCCCTGGCCCCAGGCAGGCAGGGGTGGGGAGAGGCAGGGAGGAAGCAACTTACCCTCCCTCTCCTCCTGCCTCCTCCTGGCTGAATGAGGGCCGGAAGCGGGGCGGCCGGAAGCAGGGGGCGTGGCTTCGGCATGTGCCCCGCCCCCGTACCTCACCCGGGGGAACTGCGATCCCCCGCGATCCCCCCCGAAATGACCTCTGCCTCCCTTTTCTCCTGCCTCCTCCTGGCTGAATGAGGGCCGGAAGCGGGGCGGCCGGAACCAGGGGGCGGGGCTTCGTCATGTGCCCCGCCCCTGTACCTCACCCGGGGGAACTGCGATCCCCCGCGATCCCCCCCGAAATGACCTCTGCATACAAGTCAACCAGTGTAACATAGACTATCTTCCCTAACTTTTGTGTGGAAATACGTTCCCTGGATTCAATATGAGTGACAGATGACAGTAGAAATGAACCATATTTTCTACTTAGTTGGATATTTTATGGAGAGATAAGTCATTTAATTATATACAGTCAAACATACCAAAGTATACATATTAGTACAGTAGAATTTATTTTCCTGTTCTAAAATTCTTCCTTTTACTCTTGTAAAGTCTTCCAACTCTAATGTGGAATGAAACATAAAAGCTTTTGCTTGGCAATCACGTTGAATGCAAATGGAAAAATAATATTCTGTCATGTTTTCCAAAGAGTATAAAATAACTACTTGTGTACAACTTTAAATTAGGTGTATGTTTGTTCTATTTCATGATAAAAAGTTCAAAAATTGGAACTTATATTTACAGTTTGCAGAGACTGTGAGAGTACATGTGTGTGAGTGACAGACAGTAAGAGTTGGAGACAAAGAGAAAGAGAAAACATATGCCAGAGAGCCAAAATTAATTAGCTCAGATACTCTTTCTCTAAAATGGAAAGGCCACTTACATATGTGTAATGCATGATGCAATTGCAACAATTTAGGTATAGAATTAATCATCTGAATGGATACAATAAAGGTACACAATACAATACAGACTCAAATCACCCAGACTTTCAGGGCGCAAGCTCCCTTAATGCATTGCAGTGGTTGGATTAGGATCAGGAAACCTGGATTCAAACCTCTCCTTTCCATACTGGGTGGTCTTCTGCCAGTCAGTCTTTTTCAGCTTAACCTACCTCACAGGTTTATTGTGAGGATAAAATGGAGGAGGGAAGGACCAACTATGCCACCCTGAGCTCTTTGGAGGAAGATTGGTAGCAAAATGCAATAAATAAATTTTAAAAATCTTACACCAAGGAAACTGTCTAATGACACAGTTCCACAAGGATTCCCTTTGTTATTAGCATCAATAATTACTTGAAGTGCCTCCCTGTTCTACTGCAAAGTAAGGTGGAGACAATTCCTCACGAATGATCTGAAGCAAACAATGAAAAAGAATAAAGGAAAACTACAAAAATGTGACATTCTTTGACCACGTAATGTTAGCAACTTGTCAATGTTTCCTGTTTTTTCAGTGAATTACACATACTGCAAAAAGCCATTTTACTATTACATTTAGCCAGAAGAGCCACCTGCAAGTAACTGTTTTGATGACTGTACCTTGCAACTGCAATCCAAAAGATTTTACTGTAGCAAAGCCAATGTGATTACTTCAGTGCAAGTATTTGAATACTGGAATCTACTTATGATAACATGGTCAGGTAGTAAAATAGGATTATTTATTTATATAAAATCTTTCCATCCTATACTCTAGAATATGCCCAAGGGGGCTACCATAAAATATGATTTAAAAATTTAAAAAACTGGTAAAGTAACTCCCACATACCAACATATCAATTAATAAACTGAAATAGCAGCAATAAAACCCATCAGGATTTATAACAGCAACCAGAAAAAGACTGGTGCCTTCACATGGAGCAGGCAACGGCATTTGCCTGCCCCCCACCATCTTCTTGGATGAAGCACAGGTCCTCCTGTGACATGGGTGCCCCTGAGGGACAGGTGTCCAGAGGCCAGAACCATTAGGAGGCACCAGTGGTGACAGCAAGTCAGCGGGGGGGGGGATAAAGGGGGAACCAGGTCAAGACAGGTGGAGGGCTCGGGGGCAGCACCAGGGGTGCCCGGCACCAGGCAGCCTTTCAACTGTGTGGGGGGGGTTTGGCACCCCAAAGGTGAATTTTTTAAATTTGCATTTTCTAAAAAACTACAACGAAAAAGGGGCGGGGAAATCTACTAATACAGACTACAGGAGAAAGAAAAAAGAAGGCCACTAAAAGCCCAAGTATTGGAGGTTATACAATGCTTATACAATATATGAACTTGTACTCTTAACAATTATTTCCAGACATGAGGAGTGTTCATCAGTCATCGCTTCTATTGTCAACACCAGCTTATCTGACCAAACAGTGAATAATTCCATTGCTAATTAACAAAAATATAACGTTTGAAAAACATTGGCATCTCTCTTAACGTTTTACCTCCCCCCCCATAGACTAGGTATTTGTGGAGCCAAGATTCCCTCAGTCAGTACAGTCACATAGTTTCAACTGTGGTTTGATGGGTCATTGGTCATAAGTTGGGCCTGAGTGGGCATGGTTGCCAAAGGGGTGGCCCGGATGGACAGGGAGGTTGGTACTTTGGTACCCACTCCATGGCATTTGAGTGGCTTTGATGGCCATGGGATGGGGTCTTATCCCACTGAGGTCAATGTTGGGCCAGGGGAGGACCATGGTGGTGCGGTTCTGCCGGCAGTCACTGGTGCCGGCTGATGTTGTATTGCCTTACAGGATGCGGCGCAAGGATGGAGGTCAATGGTATGATGGTTGCCGGCTCCAGATGATCGTTGGTTGCCTGGAGCACCCCCCCCCCCAGGTCATGGTTGTGCATTTTGGCAATGGCGATCTGGGCACTAGGTTGGCAGTCTCCACCCCAGGATCAAGACCTTGGGGCCATATCTTTTAGAGGATACAGTGGGGGTTTACTGGTTCGGTCTTTTGATTAGCTGATCTGTAAGGGGGTCTGTGGTTTCCAGATTGGTGGGAGGGGAGTTAAGCCATGGCTAACCCCCTCTGTGGTGGGAAAAGCACGGGTTGAGGGAATTTGGAATTGGCAAGCACTCTGAGATATCAGCGATGGAGGGTCCTCATACTGGGTGCCTATGGGCTGTGCAGTCAGGGTGACTCAGTTGGGGGCCTCTTCGGGGTGGGGGCATATGACAAGCCTTAAGGCTTTGCAGTTGTGGGCTGGAATGTGCCCTTCCTTCCCCTCTACGCAATGGCGTGTGGGCCGTGATGAGTAAGGTCTGGAAGGATCCCAGACCTGGCTCGAAGCCAGA